GCCCCCTCACCCCCGCCTCTGCACGAACTTCTAAGAGCAGAACTGCAGCTGGTGTGTCTGTGCAGGAGGCAGTGTGAGAAGCCCGGGGAGTCTAGTGAAACCTAAGGACCCCCAGCCCTGGGCCAGATCCTGTGGCCCCTGGGTTGGTCACAGTGCCAAGGCCCGGCCTGGCTCAGGTAAGGCTGCTCTCCCAGGAGCACGAGACGCTGCTGGCCCGCTGGCAGAATAAGAACACGGAGACTATCATCGAGCTACAGAACAAGACGCCCGTCTGGAACGATGACACGCAGTCCTACGTGCTCAACTTCCACGGGCGCGTCACGCAAGCCTCCGTGAAGAACTTCCAGATCATCCATGGCAATGACCGTGAGTGTCCCTGCCCTTACTCTTACTGTTCACACGCCAGCCAGGGCTGTCGGCTCAGGACTCGGCTCGCTGACCCTGCCCATGCAGGCCAGTGCTGAAGGACACAGTACACAGCTTAGACGAGATGTAAAGACTAGTGACTGGGAGGCCTAGAACCTTCGGAGCCCTGACCCTGGTTCTGTGCACTTGGCAGGGTCTCAGGTGTGGGAGTACCCTGGAAATGTTCTCCCCCACACAGTCCCTGGGAATCTCTCCTCCTTTCCCTGTCTCTTGGTGTTTGTATGCGCCCTTTCCCCTTCCCCCTTCCCCCCCTCTCCCCTGCCTTTGTCCCAGCTGCTCTGTTTTGCCTCCTGTGGGATTGCCTCGGCCTCTCTGCTGCTCGCTCTCTCTCCCTTCTTCGGGCATCAGCCCTTCCCCATCTCCACCGTCCTTACTCTGCACTCGTGTCTCCTTCCAGCGGACTACATCGTGATGCAGTTTGGCCGCGTGGCCGAGGACGTGTTCACCATGGACTACAACTACCCGCTGTGCGCGCTGCAGGCCTTCGCCATTGCCCTGTCCAGTTTCGACAGCAAGCTGGCCTGTGAATAGAGGCCTTCTCGTGCCTGTCGGGGTTACCTAGCCCAGAGTGGAGCTGTGACCTGTGGAGACAGCCCTCCCTACCCCCTGTACATAGGCCTCCTGCCAGATGAACCTGTGGCTCTCAGTGGGAGCCTGGCCCACCAGCCAGGAACTAGCTCCTCAGCCTCCTCTGTTGAGGCAGAGGAGTGGGGTATGTGTAAAGGGGCCACAGTGAATTCTGTGCCCCAAGATCAGCACACACACCCACTCTTGGGTTAGCATCCTGCTGCAGTCATGTTTGCCAAGCTGGGAAGGCAGGAAGAGGTGTAGAGGGAGAGGAAGCACAATACGGGGCTGCTGTGGCCCAGCCACCTACTCAGCCCGGGAGTCGATGACCACGGATCCCCACAGTGAGTGTGTGTGTGTCGTGGGCACATCACCTTCACATAGCAAAGGGCTTGGTAGCTGAGCCTGGCCCTTAACTGCGGGAAGTCCCCTACTTCAGGCCTCAGTCAGGCCTGGGGGAGGTCACTGGGGTTAGGGAAGGGTGAATGGCAGTACCTTGTCAAGACTGCAGGGACCTGGCCATGGGAATTGGCTGGTGGCCTAGGGTTCTAGCTCATTTGATTTCTCAAGGTTTCTCTGTGCGCAGAGCCAGCAGGAGGCCGGCCCTCGAGGCCAGATGTCTTAGAGGATGGGTCCTGCAGGACACAAGCTGAGCATATGGGAGGTGCATGGAACAGGCTTCCTGGACCAGGGCTGTCCTGGGAGTCCTGCCAACTACCCCAGGAGCTCTGCGGAGCAGCCCCTGCACAGGAAACGTGGATGGGCCCAGGTCACCAGTCTGACTACGCACAGGTTGGTGTGGCCAGGGCTATGGCTGGTAAGCTTCAGGTGCTTTTGCCTGTGCGTCACCTCCTCCCACCAGCCTAGATCGTGGTTGCTGAGGGCTTCCCTGTATGCTTCTCAGGTAGGAATGGGACAGGGTGAGGAGGGCGGGGAATATTATAGAATCACTAGAGATGAGGTGGCAGGACACCTAGAGATCTACTAATACATCTGTTACCTTAGGCAAATCACTCAAAAAATGGCACTGGCCCTGGGTTACCTGGCTGGTGAATGGCATTCAGAACTTCAGCTCACTGGATTTCTTGGTTCCCACCATTCCCCAAAAAACCACTATCTGTGGCTTTTGGGCCTTTCTGGGGCCCAGTCTGGATGCCCTCGCCCCTTTGCCTGATTCCAGAGACTTTGCAGTGTCAGAGTTGACATATGAAATTGAACCATTTCAGACAAAATCATGAGTGGTCAGGGCGGTGTGGCCGTTTCAGTGGAGATTGAGCAGTTACCTGCTGAAAGCCGGCTGGGTCTTCGCGTGTCAGACTGATCACGACTGACCGTGTCTGGTTCCCCCAGACAGCAAGCCTGACAAGGCTGCTGCCCACTTCTGTATGTGGGTGTGTTGGGGGCTGTACGTGTACTGGAGTGGGGCCTGTTCTCTCCCTCCCCCTCCGTGGACATGGGAGCTCTCCCCTCTTGCCTTTTTGTTGTTTACTCTGGCAGAGGCTATTTGCCCAGGTGGAGATCAGAGATCAGTGGGAAGCAAGTAGTTGTTCCTCTCTTCAGAGTAGATGTGTTTGGAAAGCACATCTGTGTAGAAACTGATGCTTTAAAAACAGGTTAGTGCGGCTCTGTCTGGAGGTGAAGGAATTGTTTTAACCTAAGTGGAGGTAGTATGCTCTCTCACTTCCTCGCAGTCGTTTTTCCACGTGGGCTGCTTGAAGCAAGGCTTTTCTGCTACAGCACTGATCCTCCCACACCCAGGGTGTTTCTTAGAGGCCCCCCCAGTGCCCTAGTTTCTGTTGACATGGTCTAGTTTCTAGACAGCTCTCTACCTGGGACCTTCCTGAGGGTGCTGGGACTTTCTGTACAGGGCTGGTCCACTTCCTAGGAAGCCCTTTGGTGCCATCCCCCTTCCCATAGTCCAGTTTGGCTCTCCCTTTTCTGACTTTGAGAAGAGACCTGCTGACATTAGGATAGTAGAAACTAGGTGATCTCTAATGTTTGGTCACGCTGTTTCTCTGGGTCTGTGATTTTAAGGTAGAACAGCTGGTTTTGTGTCCTAGTGAGAGGGGGTCCAGGTAGCAGAGTGGAGAAACCAGAGGCACAATGGCAAACTCCTGTCTCCTCCAGTGCACAGGAGTGGAGCTGGCTGCAGATTTTGGCAGGGTCAGGAATGTGGGCTGAACTTTCTGGCCTGGCTGAGGAGAAGGGTAGCTCAGCAACAAAACTCTGTTGGGCATCGAGTGACAAGAGCAGTCACCTGCTCAAGACCCGGCCCCACAGTCTATTTTTACAGCCCTGTTCCTGAGAACGCTGCTTTTCCTTAACCACTGGCCTCAAAGCCGTGGACCCAAAGACTCAAAGCTGCCAGGGGCCCCAGAGACCACCTGGGCTCAGCCTCTCCCATAGTAAGAGTTCTTGCCCTTCACACCCTCCACCCAGATGGTCCTTGGTCAGGAGGGAACTTGATGGAACGAGCAGGCCCTACGAGTGTGGGGCAGCTGGGACCTCAGGCAGCTCTTCTGTGACTGCTCCTGGCTCTGTCACTCCTGGGGCCCTACCCCACATCTCTATACCCTTTGTCCAGAACAGCTCTTATGGAGAGTGGCGACGTTCACTTCCCCACTCTTTTACTTTCCTTCTGGCTCCAAGGTGCTCTGTGTTTGTCTGCATCTCTGTGTGTATTTGGGGAAAAGGGCAATCTGCAAAGAATCCACTGAGGTTTCTTATTGTGATCACATTTCTAAGAACGAAGAAGAAAGGGACAAGGGTGCAGTGTACCTGCAGATTTTGTTCATACCATTCAGTGCTCTTTGATAAGGGAGCATACCTGGGAAAGTGCCCGCTCTTCCTCCCAGGTTCTGATTAGGACACTGTCTGAGAAAGTTGTTTTCAGTTCCTATTCTGTGTTACCTGGAGAAATCTGTGTTGCGTGCGTGCTTTTGCATGAATTTGAACATATTCTAGTGACTGTGCCTTAAAAACCACGACGCTAGTTCAGAAAGAGCACGTAAGGTCTGGCCCCAGGCTGAGGACAGGTGTCGGCAGCCAGGGAGTATAGTATGGTGATCACAGGCTAGGAGAGGACCTTTGGAGCCCACCTCCTTCCATGACTAAAGGGGCAAGAGAAATGAAGTTTCTTTGCTCTAAAAAGAGTGGGGCATTTGCCTCTAAATTCAACAAGCAACAGCAATGACTTCACACTAAGAGGCCCTTGCTTTCCTCACAGTGGGGTCTACAGTGAGGGGAGATGCTGGGCTGGCCGTGTCCATGGCTCTTATGCAAGCACAAATCCCATCTCCCATATAGAGTCCCTGGTTTCCCCTCACTGCAGTGACACTGGCCTTCCCTTCTTCAATGCCTTACCCCAGTCAGGATGTGGTGTGACCTCAGGCTGCCAGTTCGCCCTCAGCACACCTTTCCAGGTAGCTGGTGCCCAGCATGAGTGGGCCTCACTCCCCTGTGCTCAGGGCCAAGGTAGGACCCTACCCTGGACCCTGGCTTGTTGAACTGTAGCAGCCCCTGGAAGAGGCCTAAGGGTGGGCTCTGGTTTAAGTTTATTGGTCACCTGTCCTCCCATACTTGTTTTCTGTCATCTCAGGATTCAAGGAGGGGCTGAGCAGAAGTACTGGGACAGGTCTGGTTTTTCAGTTTTCCTACCAGGTTGAGAGGCAAATTGGTCTTACAGAAAGCATTCCTGTACGCAATGGCCACGGGATTTTGAGCAAACCATGTAATTTTCTAGGTCTGTTTTCTCATCTACAAAGCGAGGAGGTTGAACTGTCCACGCTTGCAGTCAGAGTCAGGGCGGCTGAGAGTCGACCTGTTTTCATCACTACCCTTTCTAGCTCGTCACTGTGCCTTTTTTCTTTCCTGAGACAGATGTCACATCCCTTTCCTCTTCCGCTCATTTGTCCCCCCCCCCCACCTGCCCTGCCCCACTCCACCCCAATCAAAGTCCAGACAGAGCTGGAGGCCGAGATCACAGAGTCCTAGAGGGATTTAAAGTGGCTCAGAAAGGGAGCCTGACTCTGGTGACTAAGGGGACTTGGTCAGGATGGGTGGCACTTCTCTTGCTGAGAATGTACATTTAGCCAGTTTTCATAATGCTTAGAATGTGTATGTCTATTTGCACAAGACCATCTTTTCCTATTTTGGAGTGGTCAGACATTTTATTTTTGTTTAGATTATCTGGAGTTTTAGATGAACTTGCAAACTGTGCTTTTACCAACTTTTTGAATAAACTCTTTGGTATTCTGGAGCAAATGTATTTATTTACTGGTATGTGCAATGACAAAGTTGGTATTTTCCCATGTTGACATTATGTACGTTGTATGACTTAAGTGTTTGTCTAAGTACAGACCATATATCAACAAATTAAACTTGAACTGTTTCAACACTACTGTGTACTTTTTTTTTCCCTATAAAAGGAGAAAAAAAACATGTTTTTACCTAAAACTTTTTTCTCCACCATTGATTCCTTCTGTCCAAAGAGCCTCAGGAGCGAGGAGGATGGTGGCAACAGTGACAGGTGGGTCTGAGCTGTCCTCCCTCTGGCCTGTGTGCTTCAAGTTTAAGGCTGGGAAGTGCAAGGCCAGAAGGTACGGGAGCCACAACAGTCCTCTGCAGAGTCCGCTGTGCCAACCGGAAGAAGGGGCCATTGGTTCCTAAGTAGCCCCTGTGGGCCTGGCCCTACCAGAGCCTAACTTGTGAAAGCAGGACTTGGACACATTCGGGAACCTTCCTTTCAGCCTGTGGCAGGTATGATGCCAAGAGCAAGGGAGGCTGAAGTGGCTGGAAGCTGACATGAAAGGTAACGTCTGATCCTGAGGGAGGAAGTCAAAACTAAAGTCACCCACCACCGCGGAGGGTGTCAGGAGCACCTGCTACACCTGGGACAGGCAGCCTTGTAAGGTGGGTATTACTCTAAATTCACAAATGAGGAAACTGGTGCTCAGAGAGAGAATAAGCTAAGAAAAAAGAGAAGTTTGTCCTATTTATATGAAAAATGGGGAAGAAAAAAAATGAGGTTAGGTGTGTTTTAGAAAGATATGTATAAAATGGTCAAGGTAACGTCATGGATACTTTCTATTTTTCTCAGTATTGCTGACCAGCTGAAGTATTAGATTTTTCTTTGGACTATAGTCTGGGTTGAGGGGGAATTTAAGAATGTGGCAATAAGGAGGACTGGTTTATTACCCCCCATTTGGAGTTTTTATGTAGCCAAGAGCATTTCTTGCCTGAACTACGGCCTGTCTCCGCCTCTGTAGGAAACAGCACATGTGGGGTTCTGTGAGAAAGGAAGGAGGTTTTTGTTGTTTAGTGGTCAGGACCAGGAAAAATCTTTTAAATACCATGGGCAGGGTGACCAAATGGCTAGGACAGTCCTGGTTTATATCTTTTATCCTGGTGTAATTTTTATTAAAGCTCCCTTTCCCAAGTGCCCCAGTTAGGACCATACATTGTTGGAGCACACATGCCACAGAAGGTGCAGAGTGTGTGGTTCTCCCAGGCCATCTTTTCTAGAGACCAAATGTGCCTTCACCCATCTACACAGGTCCCTGGGCCTGACTTCTGGAGCTCACGGGGTGCTTTCCTACACCTTCTGTGATGACCACGAAAGAGCACTCCCAGGCCGGGTCACCCACCTGATTTACCAAACATGGTGCCAGGGGATGCAGTTGTTGCCTAGGCCAGCTGTTTGCCGCCCGAGGTACAACTGTGCTCTGCCACAGTGCCCGAAGGCCGCTGCAAGGTGAGCGAAAAGTTCACAGCCCGTACCAGTTCTGAGAATGAGGAGAGAGACGTCAGGCAGGCTAGTGAAAACCAGTCCCCTGAGTTTGGTCATCCTGGGTTGTATATTCACATGTAACTGCCATCTAAGGATAAAATAATTCTATAAAATGCAAAAAAAAAAAAAAAGACTGCCTAATCTGAAATTATTGAAAAGTACATATTTCTGAAATATAAATGTATTCCTGCTATATAAACCAACCAAGAGGTAGGGCAGCAAGAACCATCATGAGGCCTTAGTACTTCTGGCATTATTTCCATATTTCTTAGTACTATTTCCATAAGTCAGTTCCCCCAAAGATTAACATTCAAAATAAAAACTTGGTTACATAACGCCTTACAGAGCAGCCTCATCAAAATACCTAAATGTCCACTTCCTTTCGCACTCCACTCTTTTTGCACGAATGCCTTCTCTTCATGCCCACCTGGAGAGTGCTTAGCATGCCCCAGCACCCACCCTTCTGTGAAGTTGCTTGGAAGTACTTTGGCAAACATGACCTTTCTTTGTTTTCCTATAGATCTGGGTCCATATCTGAATTACAGCATAAAATCACAGCCACCACTTATGAGGGGTTATCATGTAGGAGGCAGGCACTGATGAGGCCATTTAATCCTCATAACCACTGTGGGAGACCTGGACTTTTACCCCTGCTTTAGAGACAAGAAAGCCCAGACAGAAGGCTTAAGGAGCTGACAAGATTCTACAGTTAGAACAGGCAAGGGTGGAATTATGACGGCTGTTTCTCTGCCTGCAGAATTCACGAGCTTGAGCCCTTTTATAATTTATAGTTCATTAAAATAAATTGGATGAGACTCCCACATTAAACTGAGTTTTTAAAAGGTAGGAATTGAGCCTTCTGTTCCCACTGCCTAGCTCTGAGCAGTGTCTGCCAAATGAATAAATGAATGAACAAGCTAGAAGGAAACATGCATCTCTAATAGGGGAATCATATCCTAAGGCAGAAAAGAAATTTGAAACAGGGACCCAGGACTCCTCATAAATCAACCCCTCATATAAATGAAGGGAAATAACAAGGAAAACAGTTTATCGAGACAGTAAAGAGCACCTACATTATTTTTTTACCTTTAGCATTACATCACATCTAGATTGTTTTCAGTACATTTTAAACTGCATTTGTTACAAGTGAACCAAATGTTCCACACAAAGACAGATGCAATATGCTTTGTAGAGGCTCAATCTTCAGTGACTTCTCTCTAGTTCATTAACTAACAAGAAATGTCTTGTAGTAGGTGACATTATATTAACATGATCCCAGACCTGAGAGCAGTCTGTATGCGTATATGTGTGATTTAAAGTATGTTCCTCTACCTTTACATGAGTTCTTCAAGTCTTCCACATTTTGTGACTGAGAATGTCCTCAGGAATGTGTACTCTTTAAACTCTCAGGTATTATACATAAACTGAATTCACTCATCCTTACTAGACAGAATACCTGGGTGCCATCCTGTCTCAAGAAGACAGATGGCAGTTTAAAGATTAGGCCTGTAGTTTTGTCAAAGTTTTCCCAGGCCTAACCTACTTCCTATGTTCCCCAGGTCTCTCAGAGGACCCAGATATCTGATTACAGACAAGTAAACATCTCTTCCCCTGGGCACTGCTACACTGGTTCTCTGCACCAGACACACTGCAACTTTCCTGCTTGGGCTGGCACTTTGTCGACAAGTTCGGTCCTCATTTCAGATTCAATTCATGTGGTTGTGAAAACAAATTTCCCAGAGGGCACAGCATTCAGAAACAGTTTCAAGGCAAGGGCTGTCCTTAAATGAATAGGTTCGTGCCCATCACTGGCTCCCTGGCCATCTGAGCATCTTATGGCAGGACCACTGCCCTTGGCTTTCCTGCAGCCTCAAACCTTGGCTCTGCAGGGCCAGGACTAAAGTCTCTACCTAAAGCTTCCTCTGGTCATTGAAGACCAGAGGTACAAAGGTGTTGTGGGTTTGGAAGTTCTGTTAAGCAGAACAGGGATAAAGGAAGCTAGAGATCCAGGCAGTATCAGAGCAAAACAACCCCCAACAGTCTGCTGAGCCCATTTTCAGGTCCGTGTGAGTCTTCTGGCCCTGGTTGTGAGGAAGGAGCTTCAGCTCAGACAGCAAAGTCCTGTCCTGCTCTGGCCCCACCATCCTCAAAAACAAAATGTTCTTTTTTTGAACCCAGGGGACCACTAACCTGCTCAAGGCCCAGAGAATAAGGCATCTTGGACTCTGAAATCTTCACTCTTGCAACCTTAAGTCCTCATCATTTGTAAGCTGCTCTTCGTTCACAGGTAAACCATCTGTTACTCCTAGCACGCAGAGTCGGACCTCTGTCCTTGAGTGGTCCCATCTGTAATCACGATAGAGCAAACAGTTACTCAGTGGATTAATTCTCTGATAGAGGAAAGGCAGGAAGAGAAAGAGCGAGGCCATCTTGTGTTCCTACTAATCTCTATGATGTTGTACAAGGTGACAGGTGTGTGAGCACCAGGGAGGATACATGATATCCATGGTAGCGACCTGATGGGGTATGATATTTAAACACAGAGAATGAAGTAGAGGGCACAGGGCCAAGGATGAAGTCTGAGAGAGAAGAAAAGGTCACCTTGGGACTAGAGTAATGGATATGTCACCAAACTGGCTGTGTTCACTCTAAATCCTGGGGGCTCCGCTTCCTCAATGAGCCCCCTGTACATGCTCCGACAGCGCTGATGCCCAGCCCCTCATCTCTGAAGTCCTGGGGCCACGCTGCTTTGGTGGTCTCCTCCTGCTCGCTGTTACTGTCTGCAGTGAATCCAGCATTCTCTGCCAAGACAGCGGGATCCTCTTCTTCGTGAAGGCAGCAGGAACATGTTTCTGGCTTTGGGTCACCTGAAGTAACAGAATTCTCTTCCTGGGCTCTGCGGTGAGTGGGCATTTCCCAACCCAAATAGTCCGACTCTTCTTCTAGCAGTCCCATCCCTTCAGCTATTTCCTCAGCAGAGGGCTGTTTTGGGTCCGGGTAATCCACCAGGATTGTTTCTTGCCTACGTTTGATGCAATCTGAAAGGTCATAAATTGGATAAGTCTCTTCAGGGTAACCTAGAGAGAAAAGTAGCACAAAGTCTTATAAAGAATGTCTTCAGAATGAAGTGTCAGGCTCAAAGAGGCTTCTCAGGCAGCAGCCACCCCATCCTGACAAATCCATTCCAGAAATCTCTCAGATGACTAACAGCTCTAAAGTTTCACTTGAGTAAATTTGTAGTGTCTGGCGGACTATCCCAGTGTTCTTTGAAATACAAACCCCTTCAGAGGAAAATCCCTTAAGCGCAGGGTGCTGGGGCAGAGTGTGAGTCTCACACCTCCAGCTTCTGCAGTATGATGAAGACTAAACAAACAGCAGGAGCCTTCAGTGAAAAGAAAAAACAAAACAAAAAAAACACCAAACACCAGATGGACAGAGCACAGCTCAAGGCTAATGTTTATCATTTCTATTTGGAACCATTTCCAAATCTTCCCAGGGGGTGGAGAGAGGGGTGGGAGGGAAGGAACTCTAAACTCTTTGAAAAATACACCATGAAGCCTTCTACTAATCAAAACAACTGAAATGGCTTGCAAGTGTCAGAAACGGTGCTTTAGCGAGACAGGCCCAAGATCCCAAGGACAGTGCTGTGTTTCAGAAGACAGGATTTCCATTGCTGGCTTCATCTTCACAAAAGAAACAGCAAACTGGTAAACAAAATGACTAATACTGGTACCGAATCCCAGCTACATAATGAGAAAAGAGAAAATGCTGCCAAATTAAAGAATGAAATGAAATAAATCTGTGTCAGCGAGCTGAGCCTGAGCAGCAGATGGGCCATGCTGAAACTCATGCCCATGCTGGCAACGGCAGTGAGCTCGCCCCACAGTGTGGAAAAAGCTGGAGGATCCAAAACTCATGTGCACATTATGATAATTGGCAAACCAGACCAACCCAGACGCAAACCACTTTTTGCCTACAAATTCTGAAAAGGGGTGTTCTTTTTGATGCAGTGTAGAGTATGGAAAGATTTTTTTTTTTACTACATTTACTGGTGGTTTTTTTCTGATTATAAAAGTCACACAGACTCACTGTGGAAAATTTGAAAAATACAAGTTTTGGAAAGAAAACAAATGATCTAG